ACTTTGCATACATAACACAATTAGCGCTAATCTGAGCAGCTTTATTTCTCATGTATGCAGTAATTATGATTCAATAGGGCTTCATAAAGTTCTCTCTAATTACTGATTATATTTTTTGTATACTTTTATATGCACATATACATTTATATATTTTCAAACAGCTGGCACCAATGTACTCAGACAACATGTGATGAAGAAAGGAGAGGATGCTAGAAGAAGAAACCAGCACACAGAGGGGGTCAACACCCATCCATTGATGGAAAAGCAATGGTGAGAGCAGTGAGCCTGTCCCTGCCATGCCGCAATCTGAGCTGGGATCCTGGATGGGGCAAACAACTCTCCGTGGCACAAGTAGCCGCCAACAGCCACTCTCCAACCATTTTCAGCCTGTAGGCCCTTAGGCATCCTTCCACAGCAGCTCAGACCCTACTAGAAATGTCACTGCAAACTTCTCTGTCCGCAGTGCTGCCAGCACTGGTCATCTGCTGCTGCCAAAAATTAAAAGGGAGCACATGCATGCATTTTTTCTCGCTGGGCGAGGGAGCTGAGTCTGCTCACGGACAGACCAGGGAAGCCCCAAGGCCAGGACAAAGTATGAAGTGGGAGCTGGCAGCTGCAGGGGATGAAATCCAGAGGAAAAGAGAAAGAACTTGGAGGATGAGCCCATCCCTGTCTCATTTAGCTTCATCTTTAGTCACTTTTCACATCCTACTTGAGTAAGAAGTGGAAAAGCGCTGGTACACAGGGACATCAACTATTCGATCAATGAACACTGTCTGCATGGGGTCTTTATCAACCTCAGCCCATGCCAGCAGCAGTAATGGAGGCACAAATACAAGGAGCAATAAATGAGCAAACTATTTATCATGAACAAGCACAAAACCTTTCTCAGGTATTCTTTCTGAAATTAGCAGTGAACGCAGTTAGCCGGGTGCCTAACCAAGTGCAAGATGGTACATGCACGGTGATTTCTCACTCCAAAAGCTGCTTACTTTCATGCGGACGTGCAGGAGCGTGTTACCACCCACTTCACATACATTACTTGAAACTACTTTCTTAAATGACTGCATGCGAATTTTGATTGAAAACAAAAACTAAATCAGGTCTCAAACACTACCTAGATTATGAAGGGCAAGTTATATATAAAGTCAGTCGGTAACTTACACCCTGTATGTTACCTTTATCTCTGGTTTTATCAGACCTTCCTCACTCTTAGCCCTGCCAAGAATTAAGTTTACAACTTTTGCTTTATGTAGCAAGAAGAGATGAACTGGCAGTGTACAGCCTAGCAGCATGACATGGGAAGGACAGGGTGACAGCCAGCAAACATCAGAAGGACAGAAACATCAAGAAAGATGACAAATTATTTGAAGTGCTATAAAAGTGATATAAAAATAAATTGGAAAGGGAAATTTTACACCAAAGAATGTTATTTCTTGAGAACAAAGTCCATGATATTTGACTGTGGCCATCTCCTAAAGAAAAAGGTGCTCTGTTCTGAGGAACTGCAGAATCAGAAAGAGCATGTAGAGCATGGAAAGGATGCTGGGACGCTGCACGGCCAGGAAAATGGCCAGATTGATGTGCCTGATCTCCACCTCTGAAACCGAGATCTCACTATAAAGCACCTTTATCATGAAGAATAAGAAAGAAGCAGTTTGCAAAGACTCAAACAGATTTCAGCTTAAATGCCTCTGCAAATTAATACACTTCGTAGGAAAAAACCAGTCAAATGTGGTGTTTATTCCAAGCACTTTACTGCCTCAGACTCATTAACCCTGTACCTTATGTGCTCTCTTTGTAATGCAAATTTGCTACAATACTATGCTTTCCATAAAACATTCGTATAGACAAGCTCACACTGCTCAAATACCAATTGTAAGTGGAGCAAAAATACACTAAATTTTTCTTAATACTTGGGCTCTGCACCTAAGTCTTATCTGCATAAGCAGTTTGTGAGAAACCTTCTGCTGTTGCTGCAGCCACAGCAGCACAAAGGTGGAAGACTTCCCAAAGCAGCTGATGTAGGCAATTATAAACTGAATTACCACATGCAAAAGCCAAATGAAAAGACTTCGTAGAAGGTACCTACAGCAGAGGGTTTTTTGGGGAAGAGAGATCATTACAGAGAGGAGAGGAGATACCCTGCATTTAAGGGGGCCCAGCATTGCACATACTGCACCTGCTTGCTGAGCTCCTATTTAATAGCCACCTGCCCAACCACCAGGGTTTGCTAGGAATCCTCACCACGTAGCACCAGGCATCCTGTTTCCAACTGCTGCACTGACAGGATGGAATACACCCATCCAACACGTGGAGCCCAGCAGGAGATAGAAAACCACCCCGATGAAGGTCTCCAGCCCAACCTGACCCAGATGGTCCACACAGTGGAAGATGACTAAGGGTTGGAGAGGGCTGAGGGAAGGTTTAGGTTCCCAGTTTATGACTTACACAGTTGCAGGAAAGGAGCAAAACATCACCTTAAGGGTGCAACGTTACAATGACTCCACGCTTCTCCAATGGACTTAGCCGTCGGAACATGAAATACCATAGCAAACCTATGGCCAGCTGAGATTCACAATATAAACTCATCTAAATCAATTTAAATACACAGGATAAATAAATGTAGGAAATTTTATGAACTTTTCCTTCTCCCTCCACAGGTACCAACTGCTTTTGTTTCAAGACGATCTATAATTGTGGCATCCCAAATTAAACTCTGAGCAACTGCTCTAATCCTATATTTAGTTTTGAAAATTGCCATTTCTTTTCCAGACTTGAAGAAGGGCCCAGAAACCTGAAAATTGTCTAATTTTTACAACTATACCAGCTGGCCTGATGGAAGAAGACACCACCTCCAGGTACAAACCTTTCCCAAATTTCCCAGAGCTAGGAGGCAGAACTCAAGACATCATTGCCTGAGGTGATAGAAACATCTCCACTGGTTTTCATCAGGGTTCAGAGCTAAGATGCACAGGTGACCAACGGGATGCATCTTAACAAGAAGGTTTCTTTATTCTGCATAATAACATGCCAACTGCAAGCCAGGTGTACTTCCCAGCCTGTCTGCTAGACCTGGTTCCCAATCATCCAAAATACATCAAGGATCTGTTACTGCTCCTGAATGCAGATGACTTCCCGAAGGAAACCAGGTGCTCAGGGGGATGATGCACATGCACACCGCGATGCACCCACACCATGCAGGCACCACATGGCAAGGGCTTAGACTGGGAACTGCACCCCAGCACAACTACCCCGCAGTACAGACACAACCAAAGTGAATACAACTTAACTTGAAACTTTAAAATTATTAAAATAATTGAGCAGAGTCACTGGGGAAAAAAAAAAAAGAAGTTTGGGGGCAGGATCTACAATCAAAATAAAACCAAACCAGTAATTTGGCATACGAGCTTCACAACAAGTTAAGAAAATAGGTACTTGTTCAAACACCCACAGTGATTTCTCAGATGCATTAAAAGAGAATGAACATACTGAAACCTATTCGGTTTTGAAATTCAGTTCATTTGGCACATCCTCCACTTTCGAAAGAAAACAAACAGCAAATGCAGACAAGCCATAGCATGAGCAGCCATGCACTCTCCTGCCCACCTGCCTGAAGCCCGACTCAGAGGAACATCTCTGGCTATACAACCTTAGCTTCATCTTTAAACTCAGCCCTCAGCTCGTCCATTAAAATGGTCAATAGCAATGCCAGCTGAGTAACGTCCATCACTGGGAACTCATTTTTACAGGTCATTGGCTAGCCAGACAACAACAGCTTCTAGCCATTACTGACCTCTCTTCAACATGAACCGCTGATTTCCAGGGGAAAGACAAGCCATGAGCCATCCATTTTCTTAATCGTAATTAAAACAAAACCAAAACCACTCGACCGTTTCTATATGATTTTGTTCGTAAAAAATATAAGCGTGCAATTATCCTGCTACATTTCTGGAATGTGAACACTAACATAATAGGAATCTGAACGCATTCAGTTCATCTATTGAGGCAGGGAGTATCTTATTATAAGTAGGTGCTGTTGAACAAAAATTAGCATCAGAAGAGTTTGGATAACAAAATGTTCTGCTGCATCAACCCCCCAAGTAAGCTGACTAAACAGATTCAGACAGGTGTGTCTTATGATGGAAAAATTAACTGCAATGAAGAAAAGAATAAAATGCCCTTTAGATATGTTCCGTTATTGGAGTCATTAAGATGCAGAAGGAATTTTAAAAAAATGCCATCTCCATAAAGCTCAAGCACACATAAGAAGAAGCAAACAAATCTGCCTGGATGACTGGCTGTTTGCAGTATTGTCTGCTTTAATGGCTCTGGCAAAACTGGCTTCCTTAGTTGATCAGTCCTGCATCCACTGTACTACAGAGCTATATGATGCAGACAGATCTGGGGGTTTTAAGAAAAATGAAGTAAAACCACCACAACATACACCAAAGTCTGTATCAAAGAAAAAAAAAATACAGCCAGTTATTTCCTCTTACAAATGTATTAAATATTTGCCATTTGCAAAGATTCTCAATCAGAGAGACAGACTGCATCATGTTTGACTCCAGTAAAATGTCTCCTGAGAAAGTCTGCCTTGATCTAAAATTCTCATTCTTGGGTTTTAATTCCCAGTCATATTTACAGGAATCTGCTTTCTCCAATTTCCTAATTGAGACTGCATGGCTTGAAATATGCCCATCAGCTATCATATGACTGCAAATCTACTCAACTAAGAAATACACATTCTCAGGCGTCAGAAAATAATTAGGCACTCCATATTTCCCTGCAGCTTCCTGAGCATCAGGTGCCAATGACCAACATCAACAACCGAGACCACTGTTCCCGTCCAGCCTGACAGCTCCTGTACCTCAATGTTAGAGGGATTCATGGAATTGCTATCACAGTAACTATCAAGATACATGGAAACTGCACAATAAACCCACACGGGGCTGCATGTGTCCCGTTTCCACTCGGAGCTGAACGGATCTCCTACTCACCAGGCTCTCGGTCCTTAGTGGATATGCACTCTTTTATGGACTCTGTTATGCCAAGACTAGCTGCAGTGGGGAGCGGGCCAAGCAAGGATTCCAGTGCGGGTGGTCTTACAAGAGCTTCATTTCCATTTTCGCATTCCCCATCTTTTTCTTTTACTCTATCCTTCTCATGAAGTTCATTATAGAAGTCCTTGTTTAAGTGATTAGCAGCTGCTTCCAGTTCCTCATCTTCTGCCTCCTCCTCTCCAAGTACACTCGAGGTATTATCTTCTATAGAATCTGTAAGGGGAAAAAAAAAACGCAACAGATCATTGCATACCATCTGTTACAGAAACTAAATAAATAGAGAGGCGCTCACTTAAACGATAAAAATCTTTAGAGAAAATCTGTAGAAGAAATACATAATATTTTAGTACAATATATGAATACATGGAGTTTCCAGATGCTCTTCAAATTCATTACCTTGGCTATTAAAATGTATTTTTGCAAATATAGTCATAATTTAAAATAGAAATACTGTGTTATCAAATTATAGCAGGTTAAAAGGCCTTTGTGAGAGACGCCAACTACTTACTGGTCTAATTACAAATGAAAAATAGCCAGTTAAACCCGCACAGGGTCTTTCCATATCACTTAGTCAACCAGGGGATTCAGTGACAGAAGGGTCTAGATACTGGTCCACCGCACTTTCAGTGACGGATAGGAACATTCTCAGGTGCCAGTGCCAAGCTTATACTGCACCAGGAAAGAAAACCAACTGAAATCATTAATGAACTGTCATTGTAATGAACAATGAAGTTCTGGAGACTGATATATGAACCAACTAATCAGCAGACAGAACCCCAATGCAATAGAGATCTTGTACTATGGAAGCATATATATAGAATCATAGAACCATTTAGGCTGGAAAGGACCTCTAAGATCATTGAGTCCAATCATTAATATGATCACATTTATCACAAAGTTCATACACTTAAGACTGCCTGCAGGATCTGAACCCGTTATTACTCAAGTGGTCACAAGACTTTACAGACTTACCATCTTTAGTGAAATTTGCAAATACGCCTTTTGCTTTTGGTCTACTGTTTTCTAATTCAATCTCTATTTCATCTTGATAGCTTGATATTTCACCTGTGGTGATAAAATAAAATAAAACTCATCAATCGTTGACATAATCTTGAACAAATGAGTGGTATGTTACACTAAACCCAACGCGTACCTTCAAAATCTTCCAGCTTTTTTGATAACGCCTTCTCAAGCTGAAATGAAAATAAACCAAATAAAGATTAAATTATTAAAAGAACCCAACTTTGTACTGTTTGCGAACTGTATATAGAGGCACAGAATCACAGGGTATTTTAAAAGCATTAAGCAGGTTTCGAATCCCAACTCAAATTACTTTGTAGTGTCAGACAGGTAAGACAAAGTTACAAAATACTGACCAATTTCAAATGTTATCTCACCCATCTCTATACTACAAAAGGAACCTTCACTCTGGCAAGCTGCAAATAAAAGGTCCCATTCTTCAGCAGTCAGACTCTATGACTGTGTCTGTAGATGTGAGCAAGTGCAAGGACAGCGCTGAAACTGCAGTGCCTAGGCCAGCCATAGCACACAGGTGACAGCAGACTGAGGCACTGACCTACAGCACCTGGCACACTCTTGAGAACTCATAAACACACCTACACACCTTTAAATTATCGCATATTTAGAACAGTAAAAACAAAAACCTTGAAAAATTAATAATGGATGAATTGTCTATGACGTTAGTAAAACCTTCTCTGGTGCCAGCTTTAGTTCATGCTTTGTAAAGAAATTAAGCCACATGGGAACTAATCTCTGAGGAAGCAGGTGTTGTACCACACAAAAAAAACAGCAGTCTCATTAAAGTAATTAGGTCTTCATATGTGTTTTAAAAATAGTTATATGTAATGGCACTTCTCCTGACCATGGGTATCACCTTAAAAACAGCGCACGGTTCCTGATCCAATTACAAAGCTTACACCTTTGCAACCCCGATCCTTGCTAACCAGGGTGTAAGAGTGCATACAGCATATAAAAGAGAAGTGCAGACAGAAGGACAGCTACCCAAGACCTCCATGCCACAAGCTCAGTTTAACTTGTCGCATAACAACCTCCAGTTTTATAAGGACAAAAAGATTTGATACTTTGGTAAAAGGCCAAAGCACAAGAAGTGGAACACACATGCAGCAGGGAAGCAAGCATAAAGGAGATAGCGCTTAGTGTAACCGCATCAGCTGGCAAATGGGGAAGCATCTGGGCAGACTGTGCTGAGCCCTCATCTACAATACAGCAGTCGTGGGCTGAGCACCAAACACTGGTGTCCTGCAAAACTCGGAAGCTCAGCTGGTGCTCGTTTACTCGGCCACCCAGACATCCTGATCTGCACTAACGAGAGCAGCAGCTCTGTGCTTCCCACAGCGGCTGGCTAAGGTGGCAGACATACTTCAATACCTCATCAGGGGATGTTTAAAGCTACATATCTGAAAGAGCGTGTGTCTCTAGAGGAGTGAGCAAAAATTATAGAGAAAAACTTATATATAT